CGTTCAAGACCAGCGCCATTCCATCGTTAGAATGCATATCAATGTGGCAATGTAAAAACCAGATTCCAGGAATTGTAGCTAGAAACCTTACAACAACGTATCCTCCACTGGGTACAATTACAGTGTCTTTTAATACCGCCCCTTGTTGTACAATACTTGGGACATTTCCATTCAACCATGATGAATTGCTCCAAGTGGCACTGTTACACATACTACTTCCTGGTTTGGTATTTCCCCTACAGTCGACATCATAGTTATCTTGAATTAATGCTCCTGTAATTTGATTAAATACGCCATATCCAACCTTCAATACCATGAAGGCATGCCCGTGCATATGTACCGGGTGGTCATCAACTCGTCCTTGACCCATATTAAGGAATGTCATCTGAATTGTGTCGCCCGAATTAATTGTCAAAGAGTTCATACATTCGCATAGTTTTTCCTCCCCACATTCCTGATCTGAACATTGATGTGTTAATTCGTCGGGTTGTGTAAGTGCGGAAACAACTGGTAGCTTGAACTGTCGTCCATTTACGGAAGCCGGTCCTTCTTCGTTATAGCCAGGAAAAGCAAAATTGAGAAAATACTCTTTGAATTTTCCTTTAACTGGAAGGGGAGTTGGAATATTAAGCACAGTACGGAGCTCGGTCAGTCGAGTACAGTTTACATTTTCATTTTCAGGGTAAAAAGGAAACGGGCAATTTACAACTATGCATTTGTTTTCAGACGTACAGTTGGACTTTGAGGATGTAGGTTCTGATAACATTGCTCCTTGATACTGCAATATAGCCTCAGCCTTTGTCGTATATCTCCTATCTAAAGTTTCAGCACGTACCATATAGGTTCCTATTGGCTGGTCGGCTTTCAAAATAAAATTGAATCGTTCACCTGGAGCTATGACAAATGACTCTGCTACAACTGGTACAGTTTCATAACCATCAGCCCCAACAATTGTTAAGTTATGTTGATCAACTGATACTCTCCATGGATAGAGAGCACCAGGTCCAATAACCCTAAATAAGTATTGTTTTCCTTTTGTAACTTTAAATGTTTCAAGCGGCGAACCGTTATGAGATGTATTACTCCAGAATCGTCCACGTCCATTTATAAGCCCTGCATGAGTTCTATAGGGCGTAAATCGAGACATGTCAAGTTGCATTGAAGGAAGTAATTTTTTTCGGTTTTTGTACACACCTCCTTCCTCTTCGAACAAATCATCAGCATCTGAACCATATTCATGGTTCCATTCAAAAACTTGCATTATATGTTCTTCAAGCTGAATTTTATTTGATATTTTTGGCTTTATTATAAATGCACCAAATAAACCATTCAATCTTTGGTGGCCCATGTGTGAATGGTACCAGAATGTTCCTGGTGGATTAGCTGTGAATTTATATTTAAAGGTTTGTCCCGGTGTTATTGGGCATTGTGTAATATAAGGCGGACCATCCATCCATGGAGTATCTTTCATGTCTACGCCGTGCCAATGAATCGACACCGCTTCAGACAACTGCTTGTTATGTACATTGATAATGACTGTTTGTCCCTCATATACTATTATTGGAGGACCAGGGAGGCTTCCGTTTGCGGCAACTACCAGTCTACCAGACGAGCCTTCCCATCCATCTGCTGTAATTATGTCATCCAAGTTGACCGGGGAGGCGTTTGATGTGTCGATGACATTATAAAGGAACAGATTGCCGTTATATGGATAGACAGGACCATCTTCAGACATCATTGCTAGTTTATAATGTATGTTGAGGGATGTTTCACAGATCTTTGCATGGGGATCACATTCAAATGCAGTACTTAATGTTGCAAAAAGAAAAAATAGCAGTAGCTTCATGATGTCGATTCTGAAAAGTGCAAATTTACTTTAGAAGAAGAAAAAAAATATGAATGGGATATCATATATGGAGGATCATTAAAATATCATGTACTTCCTTAAATACGTGATGGTCTGTTAAATGTGCCCTCTGCTTTCCTATTAATAATCTAAATGACATGAATGTATTCTTGAATTGATTTCACTATATAGATTGAGAGTATAAAATGTCAGAAACCTGTTGTTCAGTGGTTGTCGTTTGTTGATGTGGTTCTTAAGTGTTTCTCGTTTCTCGTATTTTATAAAGATTAGACTGTTGGTTTTCCTGTTTGAATTGTTTTACACTAGTCATTTTGTGGCCCTTTATAGCTTTGCTGTTCAGTGTTCAGTGTGAGCCAAGGCTCCGTGTTGAAGGCCGTACTTTGACCTATAATTGTTTACTTTCTACGCATTGTGACTTGGATGGAGAGTTGTCTCATTGGCATGCACTCATACCACATCTTCTTATTTCTATTGAATTTGAAATGTAGTCTTCTTTCAATGACAGACCAAAAATTGCTCGTTGCTCGAGGCTATATCTCCTGTGAAGCCCGAATAACAATTATTTTATACTGGAGTGTCTAGATCAACACCAAATACCATTTTTATCTTTGTTTTCCTTCACAGGGGATATGGGCTCATACCCCTGTTAAGGTAACCAAGCAAATTGCAGGAATAACCAGGATATTTCACCCCAGTATAATGTGGCGTGGTCAATTACATCATAGAGTTGATGGTCAATACTTAATCAGTTTAATGATCATCTTCATTGATGTGACAGTTTATACGGTACATGTATAAGACCATAAAGCAGTGTGTTTAGTCTAAATTAAGAACAGATGTTAATAGCACGATCTTGTGAGAAACTTTATATTGATTGAGTGCGCATGTTTACTCTGTCCTAAGTCAGTAACATTCTAGTTTTGATAATGAAACATAGCTACATAAAGCAGTGTGTTTAGTCTAAATTAAGAACAGATGTTAATAGCACGATCTTGTGAGAAACTTTATATTGATTGAGTGCGCATGTTTACTCTGTCCTAAGTCAGTAACATTCTAGTTTTGATAATGAAACATAGCTACATAAAGCAGTGTGTTTAGTCTAAATTAAGAACAGATGTTAATAGCACGATCTTGTGAGAAACTTTATATTGATTGAGTGCGCATGTTTACTCTGTCCTAAGTCAGTAACATTCTAGTTTTGATAATGAAACATAGCTACATAAAGCAGTGTGTTTAGTCTAAATTAAGAACAGATGTTAATAGCACGATCTTGTGAGAAACTTTATATTGGTCAGTAGTTTTAAAGATGAGTTTAAAGTAATAAGTGGTATGCACGAATGTTATTTGGAAATTATAATCAGTGTGAACCTTTAAATAGATTATACATGTACTGTTATATGAAGATCTATAAACATTAAACATGTGAACATTAAATAGACTTAGTTATAGACAGTAGTGAGCTTATGAAGAAACATTACATTATAGCTGGTTCCCTACGCTAACGGGCAAAACATGGAATATTCGATCCGGGATACATAGATCCGAGAAATCGAAATACACAGAATAAACACCCGTTACAATAATATAACTCAGTAGGTAGAATATAGCTATACAGCTATGAACACTTATGGTTCTACATCCTGGTGATACCAGTTTTTGTACTTATATTTTATCATTGCACAATTAATGTCATGCTTTACTCAGACTTATACAAAAGGTTATTAATTTAACATTGTAGTGATATTTTTGAATATTTTCTTTATCTGTACTATAAAATATAGGAGATGTGGTATGATTGCCAATGAGACAACTATGCAGCAGATACCAAATGACGTAGATGTTCGCGATACCATTTGTTTTGTTTAATTTGATAATTTAAATCAAAATCTAATGAATTCAAACATTAATATGTATTGCTATATACAGTTATGAACACTCATTGTCCTACGTCCTGACAATAGTTAGAAGTCAAGGTTTTGCTTTTCTCAGACTATATTTATGACGTCTTTATACCAAATCCAATGGTTGTATACTGATTGATGATTTAGTTTGGGAAACTTTGTTTCTTCATTAGTTGAAATTGGCCTTTACTTAGATTTAGTAATTGCGAGATTTGTTAGCTAGCTACATTGTGTTTTTTTGTCTCTTTGTTAAGATTCTGTGTGTGTTTAGTGCCGACCTGATGAATCGAGCCTTTTTCAACATATTTCTATAGTTTGATTTAATGCTGTGCTGTTAAACAACTGTCCCAGGTTATGGGTGGCGGTTGAGCTCTCACAAAATGGTCCAACGAAGCCACATTATGTATGCACCTGTCCCAAGTCATGATGCCTGTAATGCAGTGGCTGTAGTTAGTTGCTGGCGGCCATATTGTTTTTTGTTTATTGTTCTTTAGCAAAAATCAAATATTTGGGCTCCTTTTTTGAATTGTTTCACAATTATACTGTCCTGCATAAGCTCGGTAAATATACTATTTCTTTTCTCTGTAGTAGCGAATAACAAATTAATCGTATGTTAGGTAATGCGGTTTTTATTTTAAAATTGACGTGTTAAGCCATTTTTTATATATTGAAGATTATAAAACATTTTACTGAAATAGTGCCTGTAGAAAGTAACATATCTTGTCTCCTATTTTTAAAATAACCCTGCGTAAAGTATGTTCATGATCTTAAAATATACACATGTCTTCACCGGGGCAAACTTTAATCAAATATACGCTGAATATTTACATATTTTACATCAAAATGATCATGCAATAACGAATTTGTTATATTTACATCATCAATTGTAGCTGGAACACATTCAATGTTCACGTCAAATTGTGTAATCCGCTATTAAATTTGAAAGACTCGTTCTTTTAGAATCTACACCGAGCTCGTTTTTGACAGCAAGATAAATATAATTATCATAAAGCTCGTCAATAACAAATCTCTGTTGTAATGAAATAAAAAAATAATACTGCATATATAAAGTGGACATTTGTGCGTGAAAATAACGAAAACAATTATTAATAAATTACAATTGTTAACTGTAGAGATCGTCAAATTGTGCGATATAGTCTAAGTGAAGTACCGGCAGGTAAGTACCGACAGGTGGCTGGACTAACAATAATACAAACGTTTGTTTAACTTACATTTTCCTTATTCTCTTTCAACCAAGCTCCGTAGTCATTACTAGCCTACAAACAAAATCTTATTTATTATATATAATTTAATTTCTTTCGTAATGCGCAGAGTCCTTATCTGATGACCTCCGTTTTGAACAGTTATAAGAAACCTTGAATTAAATTTTAAAGCTTGAATTTTTAAGTTGCCTGGAAGTTAGCCCCATGATGAAAGAATGTCGCTTACACAATTATTGAAGTTCAGATGTACTCAAATGACCCAATGACGATTAAATAACGTACTTTGGGTAGGTCGTAAACAAGAGAAAATGGAATCAACCCAGTAAGGTGGTAGTTGACTTTGGCTAATTAGGAACAGGGTAATTCAGTATTTCTAATAAGAACAAAATGTGAATTTTTTATCCTTGCTCTTATACAAATTCCTTTTCATCCATCTTTTGAAACTGTACAGCATTGCAATGACATTTAACAACCAGATATGGGAAGTTACAGCAACAAATAATTCCCGGCTCTAATATAATATATTTCTTCTGTGATGGGACGTAGAAATTTGTCGTAAAATCGTCAGAAAGCTCACGAGACAGTGTTTAGAAATTTATATATATTTATGTCAAATTAGATAACGAATATTTATCCATGATAGTATACCTTTGATAGTCAATTAGGTATTTTTTATAGTTTGTTTGTTTACTCTATACGCGAAGATACCACATAAGCTACTCAACAGATGTGTTTCACACATAGGGTGGAAACGTGTCCAAACGTGTACTTAAAATTACATTGCGTCCAATCATGACCAATTATATTTCCCCAAACTTTTAATATTCTCTTTGCTTTAATGTGTCCGAGTTCTTACCTCGCCCAACACGAATCTGCAAAAACGTACCAGACAAATTTTTAGCGAAATTGTGTTTCTATGTATCTGTTTTATTTCACTTAACAATACCAAAAGGAGATTGCGACTGTCCTAAGACAGGAACTTCCGTCAGTTTGCTTGAGTGCTAATTTTTATGCGACTGTTCCAAGTCAGGAACCTCATCAGTTTAAATGGAGCGCTCTTGAGTTTGATTGAGTGCGCATGATTACTCTGTCCTAAGTCAGTAACATTCTAGTTTTGATAAGTGCTCATGCTTACGCGACTATCCCAAGTCAGCAATCTCCTCAGTTTGGTTGAGTATTCAAGTTTACGCGAACTATAATTTATTGTATCGTAAATGACTTCCAACAACAAAACCACAATTTCTTATTGTTTGTGTAACTTTGGATTCATTCTAATAGATATAAGAAGAAGATGTAAGAAGATGTAGTATGAGTTGCCAATGAGACAACTCTCCATCCAAGTTACAATTTGTAAAAGTAAACCATTATAGATCAAAGTACGGCCTTCAACACGGAGCCTTGGCTTACAGCAAGATATAAAGAGCCCCAAAAATGACTAGTGTAAAACCATTCAAACAGGAAAACAAACGACACATGTGTTAAAGCAGTCTCATGTGTTAAAGCAGTCTCATGCGTTAAAGCAGTCTCATGTGTTAAAGCATTCTCATGTGTTAAAGCAGTCTCATGTGTTAAAGCATTCTCATGTTTTAAAGCAGTCTCATGTTCACTGTAGTCTACTTCAAAGGATTTCTTTTCATGGTTCATTAGACCACACACTTTTACTAATTTTTCTAATGCTATTGAAGGCGTGAATATATACGTGACTGAACATCTTATCATCCAGTAACAAACATCAGCTGTACAAACAATGCTGGATGAACAAAAAATGTAAAACCATATACAATTGAACCATCCAAAATATATATAACCAGGAACAGAAGTACTCAAAGACTCATTTTACTCTTACTGAGTCGCATAGAGCCAAACCCAGCCAGCGACAACAGCGATTTCCAGAAAACGGAATTTGCAGCTTGCGACACGTTGACAAGTCGACACACAGATATTTAAATGAAATGGCATCATCAGAATTGAGCACGGTAGGCAAAAGTGAAGACACATTGACTTGTCCATCCTATTCCAAACCAAAAAACTCTTCAACAAAATTTATTTTTTACCAAATACAGATGACAGCAAGTATTTTTAGCATTAAATACATCAACCAATCCATTAATGACAGACAGTTTAGCATTCATCCCGTCAACATCAGGATCAAGCATTAACTCCCAATAGTTTCTGTCAGTCCAGATATACCGGACTTCATCCCCAAAACCAACTAAAATCAAACCAGCCATCAAGAAACTATTCAGATTATTGAACCTCAATTCCCTAAGTCTTAAGAAAAAGGGAAAACTGCTGGAAGTAATTATTGAGTCAACTTACACAGACATAATAATGGTCATAGAAAATGGTTAGATTCAAACATCAAATCAGGTGAGGTTATACCAGATTACAGCCACTATCATATGGAACGCAGAGATGATCTACTCCTCCATAAAAACATGGTTAGATTCAAACATCAAATCAGGTGAGATTATACCAGATTACAGCCACTATCATATGGAACGCAGAGATGATCTACTCCTCCGTAGAAACATGGTTAGATTCAAACATCAAATCAGGTGAGATTATACCAGATTACAGCCACTATCATATGGAACGCAGAGATGATCTACTCCTCTATAGAAACATGGTTAGATTCAAACATCAAAGCAGGTGAGATTATACCAGATTACAGCCACTATCATATGGAACGCAGAGATGATCTACTCCTCCGTAGAAACATGGTTAGATTCAAACATCAAATCAGGTGAGATTATACCAGATTACAGCCACTATCATATGGAACGCAGAGATGTTCTACTCCTCCATAGAAACATGGTTAGATTCAAACATCAAATCAGGTGAGATTATACCAGATTACAGCCACTATCATATGGAACGCAGAGATGATCTACTCCTCTATAGAAACATGGTTAGATTCAAACATCAAAGCAGGTGAGATTATACCAGATTACAGCCACTATCATATGGAACGCAGAGATGATCTATTCCTCCATAGAAACATGGTTAGATTCAAACATCAAATCAGGTGAGATTATACCAGATTACAGCCACTATCATATGGAACGCAGAGATGATCTACTCCTCCATAGAAACATGGTTAGATTCAAACATCAAATCAGGTGAGATTATACCAGATTACAGCCACTATCATATGGAACGCAGAGATGATCTACTCCTCCGTAGAAACATGGTTAGATTCAAACATCAAATCAGGTGAGATTATACCAGATTACAGCCACTATCATATGGAACGCAGAGATGATCTACTCCTCTATAGAAACATGGTTAGATTCAAACATCAAAGCAGGTGAGATTATACCAGATTACAGCCACTATCATATGGAACGCAGAGATGATCTACTCCTCCGTAGAAACATGGTTAGATTCAAACATCAAATCAGGTGAGATTATACCAGATTACAGCCACTATCATATGGAACGCAGAGATGTTCTACTCCTCCATAGAAACATGGTTAGATTCAAACATCAAATCAGGTGAGATTATACCAGATTACAGCCACTATCATATGGAACGCAGAGATGATCTACTCCTCTATAGAAACATGGTTAGATTCAAACATCAAAGCAGGTGAGATTATACCAGATTACAGCCACTATCATATGGAACGCAGAGATGATCTATTCCTCCATAGAAACATGGTTAGATTCAAACATCAAATCAGGTGAGATTATACCAGATTACAGCCACTATCATATGGAACGCAGAGATGATCTACTCCTCCATAGAAACATGGTTAGATTCAAACATCAAATCAGGTGAGATTATACCAGATTACAGCCACTATCATATGGAACGCAGAGATGATCTACTCCTCCGTAGAAACATGGTTAGATTCAAACATCAAATCAGGTGAGATTATACCAGATTACTTCAACTATCATATGGAATGTAGAGATGATCTACTCCTCCATAGAAACATGGTTAGATTCAAACATCAAATCAGGTGAGATTATACCAGATTACCTCCACTATCATATGGAACGCAGAGATGATCTACTCCTCCGTATTTTTTTTTTTTTGCGATCTTATCGCCCCAAAAAGACTCATAGAAGAGTAATGATAGTAGCTAAACAAGCACTACAACCGGGGAACATCATAAAAGCACAGATATAGAACTGCGCACGATTGACCTAGAAGGGAAACAATGATTATACCTTTATTTTGGCATTCCACAAGGTCGTGTTTTTCTCTGACTGTTAATGACATCTTTACACTAAATCATTGGATGTTGGTTGTGTAATGATTGATATTTTAGACTTAGATACAGGTTTTTTTTTAATTAGTTGTTATTGGCTTTGAACTCGCTGTCAGTAACTGTTAGTAATGTCAAATCTTTACTTAGTGTCTTTCTTGTTGCGGGATGTATATATACGCTGCCACGTCCGGTATGTGTTTTCGTTAAATGTTTTCTGCTTTGTATCAATCTGATGAGTTCCGTACTCATGTTGTACTGTTACACCACTGTCCCAGAATAGGCGGAAGGGGGTTTGTGCCAGCAAACTAGTTTAACCCTGCCAAATTCTATATGTGCCTGTCCCAAGTTAGTAGTTTGTAGTTTAGTGGTTGTCATTAGTTCATGTCTGTCATATATGTTTTTCGTAAATTGTTTTGTTATAAATTAGGCCGTAAATTTTTCTCAATTGAATTGTTTCATATTTTTCATGTGGGGGCCTTTTATAGCCGACTATACGGTATGAGTTTTTCTCATTGTTGAAGGCTGTACGGTTGCCTGTAATTGCTTTTATCTGCTTCATTTGAAACTTGGTGAATAGTTGTCTCATTGGCAATCATACCACATCTCCTTATTCTTATATTATAGGTCCATTATATCGTCCTCCAGATAAAACAGACGACATTTAACAGAACAAAATTAAGGTCAAAATAAACACAATCAGAGCGATATATCAAAATGATATGTTCCTAATTGCAGGCTACTTCAACTGACCTGATATTAACTAGCGAGAACAGAGATTGTAGCTGACAACGGAATTAAACAAATTGTGGACTTTCAACGTATGAAGATAACACT